CATTTGCATGCCCACATCCTGTAGCAGTTGTTGAACATGTGCCAGATCTTTGGTCACTTCCCAATTTGTACGGTGATGTACTTGCGTTCTCGCCAGTCTCCGGCGTTCACCTTGGATGCCGCCAATCGGCATCACACGAGTCCCGTTGCTCCTTGTCTTTGTGTCCAGCCACAGCAGGTGCAATGTGAACTAAGCTTAGCATCTGTTTATGACCTGTTTATGCAGGTCGTTGTCGGACAATCGCTTTACCCGCTTTTCTGTGAATGTATTTGCCAACCTTATAGCCCTGGAAACTTTGTGAGTACAACCGTCTTCTGAGCTTCAGATTTCACGTTTTGTGACTAGAAAACGATGAGGGTGTGAACTGAACCTGGTACATATGTTTTTTCAATAGAGAGGTTCTGCTATACGTGAAACGTAGAGAAATCACGTAGAGAGCAGGTGCCGGGTTAGAGTCAACGGCTTCACGTGTTTTGGGTCCAGATTTCTACGCGGAGATCAGGTTCTCTACGTTGTGGCACCCTCAGAGAAAATGCTTACGGATTTGCTGGGTATCCATCAACGGCAGGCAGAAATCTGCCAAATATGGAAGGGGAAAGTCCCAGTACACATTCCTCGTGATTTCTCTAGTGGACGTAGAGCAGAGCAGGTTTTCTTTACGTTACGGGAACGCGAAGAGAGTTCCCTTGCCTACGTGATTTCTCTACATTTCACGTATAGCAGCACCTCTCTGATGGCTGCAATAAATGACCATAAGAAGAGAAATATTTTTGCCCCCTGCCGTAGATAATGGTACAGTAGCGCTCAGTGAAATCTGTCCCAAAGTGTATGTTTAGCGCTCTCAATTTGCACCGCCCGTTACATGCCGGAAGGATACGAATCCTGCTGGACGTATACATGCACAAATATAATGATGTAATCGGCTTCTACCATCTTTTTCCTGGTAGAACCGGTAGAGGAAAGTAGAATCTACCCTTTTCAGTAGAAAAAAACGGACACCTCTACCAGAAGAAGTAGTTTCTACCAAAACCTGTAGATCAAAAACGAACGCCCCCACATGCCAGATTGTATAGAATGGCTGTGCATACTATTCTACTGACTTGATTTGTCATTAGCGAACGTGAACAAGACGATCCGAACGGAAGTCTATATCTACGATAATGATCAAAAATTGCACACAATATAGAGAGATAGGTTGGAGAGATTGGAATATGGCAAAGCTCCCAGGTCTGCATACAGAGCAGCAGTTCACCAACAAGTCCTTGAAATCGTGTACCGCACTTCCGTAAGTCACATTTGATTCTAAGTCGCAACCCATTTTAGGTCTGAACCAAATTGAATCAATACGTTCACACCAGTGGGAAGTCACATTAGATTGTAAGTCGCACCCCTTTCTTTGTTTTTGATGTATCGTGTAAAAAGGTGTGACTTACATTCGGGTAATTGCGGTAAGGATGTTTCCTTCTCGCTTATACTGGAAACCGCCCAATGTTCACTTAATTCTCGCGATTTCTCAAAACCAACGAGTTAACAATGGCAAAATGTTCGCGGAGCACGCACATGCACCCGCGGTTTGATTTCACGCTGGTTAATATCCGTTCCTCATGCGCAAACGGTGAAAGATGATGGAACAAACACGATCCAGCCAACATTGTTGGACTGGTATGTCCACGGGGTCTTGGTTGTCTCGTCAGCATCTTGTAACATTCGACGGACTTTGCTTGCATGGCATATACATATACATGTAGCTGGTGGATTATACTATTTTTTTGCTAATTCCATCCTCTCACTGGCTTTTTGCACTGTTTTGCGCAGGCAACTACAGGGCAATCCATTAACATTCCTTTCTCCCAGTGCTTTGGAAAGCTTGTTAGTCTTCTTACACTGTGAGTTCATTCATAAGCCGTTATTATGCTACAAACACCACTGAGCACATACGCCAGGTGTGTTGCATTAAGAATGCTCATTCTGCATTCTACTTTATCTCACTCACACAACTCTCATCTCTCACTCATCACTCACTCACACACTCACTCTCTCTCTCTCTCTCTCTCTCCCTCTCTCCCTCCCTCCTTCCCTCCCTCCCTCCTCCCTCCCTCCCTCCCTCCCTCCCTCCCTCCCTCCCTCCCTCCCTCCCTCCCTCCTCCCTCTCTCTCTCTCTCTCTCTCTCTCTCTCTCCTCTCTCTCTCTCTCTCTCTCTCCTCTCTCCTCCCTCTCTCTCTCTCTCTCTCTCTCTCTCTCTCTCTCTCTCTCTCTCTCTCTCTCCTCTCTCTCTCTCTCTCTCTCTCTCTCTCTCTCTCTCTCTCTCTCTCCCTCTCTCTCTCTCTCCCTCCCTCTCTGCCTCTCTCTCTCTCTCTCATTTCCAGTTTGTTACCAGTCCATGGTTGGCTCTCAGCCTTATCCTGCTCCCATCATAATAATAGTAAAAGTCGTTATTGTTGCAACCATATATGTACAATATTGTATCACTGGACTAAAATAACATGTACAACGAACACGTATTAGAAGGCATGCGAATGGGTTGCTGGATAAAGATCAAATCAAAAGTCTGGGCATGCAATTGTCACATGTGATGCACGCTACTACAGTCCATTCATTGGAAACTGGCACCCTAACTTTTTGGTGTCTCTCTCACATAGTTGTAGATATCGTGAAAACAACAGTACATCCTGCGTTGTGTGACCCGTGCAATTACTCCTTGCCACATTTGAGGCCAGAAAAGTCCAAGAACAGGGAAATAGAAATTCAGCCAGGTTTTACAAAATTAGGACAGGTATGCCATGGCAAAATGTATGGAGAAGCAGATCCAAAACCCAGATTTTTGAGATTTAAAGTGGGTTTTTGATCCTCAATTCGGCCCAAATCCGACTTTCAAAAGCCAGAGGGCCAGTTTCCGATGAATGGACTGTAGATCCTTTCAGATTGCCAGTATCATCATCGACATGCATGTTCATCCGCTAACGTCCTTCACAGCTAAGAAATTCAGGTTGTGCTGGTCTTGTTTGGGCGCACTCTCCCCTCCTATGTTATTCCTTTGACTTATTTCTTTCCGAGTTGGAAGAATGTTGGAGTGTGCATCCAAGACGTGCTAGAGCTGATTGGAAGTTAATTGTAGAACGTCAGTACCGTTCGTCAGTGTCGTGCAATGTTATCGCATCAGCGGATTGTGCAGTAGCTGGTGGTGTAAGCTGAAATTATAGCGTAACTTGTCGTTCCTTGGTCCTTCCTTTGCTATAAATTAATCATTGGCTCTGCAATCATTGGCTCTGCGTCCCAGCTCATCTTCATATCTACTCTGATTGTTTGCACAGTGATATCCGCTATAACCGCCTATCTAATTATCGACTATGCGGTCTCTTCCCAAGAAGGGATATCGTGAAACAAATCGGTACAGACAGACGTCTGCTCTATAGTAAGTTTCACATCACCAGCTCTGCTTTGACCATTTTGAAAACGAGTTGCTTCGTGTATGAAATGTGCGCGCAACTTTGCTCTCGATGTGCTGGATGTGGGCATTCCACGTCAGGTCGGCCTGAATGATGATACCCAGGTGTCGCTGGCTCTGGACTCTGTTCAGTGCTTTGCCTCTCAACGTTCCTTCTTTGTTTCTTGTCGTGGTTTATGCAGATCTCAACGCATCCTTTTGTTCCATGAACTGCTCTAGTGCACCAGAAGCTGAGCCGGTCTGCGAGGGGCTTAAGTTTTGTACTGGTCCTCTCTCTAACTACACATGTAATCGTAAGTACTATGTACCGGTCAGTTGTACACCATCTCCTACGCAAGACGTACACAAAAGGAATTAAATAGGGCTGTTTTTGTTGTAACTCGGAGTTTCATGGCAAAAGCCAATCATCAGAAAACATAAGGAGATTAGAAAAACGCAGGTATATGAATGCAAGCAGAGGAGAAAGAATAATTCTCCAAACTCCGTCTCCTATAATTATGCAAGTAACACAAGTCATGGGCAGTACATAATTGGGCCACAATCAACGAAAACGTCCTTTAGTGGTTACGACATTTTTCGGGAAAAGGTCGATTTGTTAGGTGCAACAATTTTTGGAACGGCGTGACTTCTTCTTCTTGAACTTCTTGCTTGGTGTAATGTGTGTTGTTGGAGTGGTGTCGTGTGTCGACTCAAGTGTTTTCTTTGGTCTCCGTTTGGCATGCAGAAACATTCAATAGGCACCCTTTTCAGATGTGGGTAATGTTTAGAGATTCATAAATTTACCCTTTCCGTGCTGCTGACGTCTATAGACATGGACATGCTTTCGTAAATCCATCAAAAATAGGTCCACCGCAACAATCAACACACTGAAAGGTCTTGAGCTCAGCTTCCTGGAGAGATAACGTTCTTTGCGAATGTAGAAAGATTGACGGAGGGGCTGTGGAGTGAACACATGGAATTGCGCGGCACTGAGCGATTGTGAATTTTGTTTGTTCGTGCCTTCGCAGCTTTTTGTTGCGTGCAAGGAATTTCCTTTGGCACAGCGCATGCGTAATGGACGCCAAAAAAAGCATGTGGATCTCAGCTTTGCACTTGAACCCGGTTCAAATTGTGCAAACTGGTTGAACTGGAACATGAAGCCAAAAAACGAATGTGAGATGGAGTTTGCTGTGCCTTTCCGAGGCATGGTGAGGTAGTTTAGTGCGGACGTGAAAGTTGAATTGCGGTGCATATTGAGCTGAGAGCGACCCAGGATGTAATCGCTTGGTCCTGATCTTTCTAACTTGGCCAGGATGATGAATCCATT